CTAATAGTTTAATTAAATAGTTTAAGGCAATTTCGTTCATAAAATTGTTAGAAGATTGAGTAGGTGATGTGTGGATAACTTCACGAGCTTATTTAACAGAATAATTTGTTATCAAAATATGAATTGTTCTTAATTTGAGATGATGAATTTGGTTATTTAGAAGGTAAAAATTATTTATAAAAAAACTACTCACTTGGTTCCAGTATGATTGTTTTATTTTTTGTCACTTGTCCGACTAAGTTGCCTCATATCATATTTAATTTGGTAATATGTATGTGGTTCTAATTCATTTTTTACTTTATTCACACTTTACCAGAGGTCACATATTCATGTGATAATTTATATCGATATACTATAATTCCAGAATTATAATTTGCTGTGTTTTGTATCATTCTCAATAAATTGGATTTAATGCATCAAACTCTCTTTTGATATATAAATTCGACACATTAGTCCATGTGATTTAAAAAATGCATCAAACTCACTTGTGTTATAATTATTCAAGCGCAGACCTCCTCTAAGAACAAATTCAACAATTTGAAAATCACTTGACTTAATATTATGATTGAATATGCTATTAATAAATTTGTCAAGATCTCTAAATTATAAAATATACTCTAAGCTTTGTTAGAATGCATTTAACATTCTAAAATTTCATTTGTGAAATAAATTATTTTACATCTGGTACAATTTAATTTTAATTGCATCCTCATAAATGTTTCGTATACTTTAAATTATGTACTTAACACCATAAAATTACATTTGAATATATATATATGATCGTGGTGCTAACATAACTAATTTTTATATAAAGTTTTATGTATATGTATTGCATGTGCAAGTTTAGGGTACTTATATTACATCCCTTCAAAATTTGGGATTTTAAAATTATTTTCCCCAATATATATATATATATCATTTTAAGTGTTGTACACCAGAGCAGCGAGCATAATATCTAGATTATCTACACTCTATGCTTGAGTTATCTAAAATAGAGCACTGAGAGACCATGTAGTAGAACAAAGGAGAACAATAAGTATTACACATGTCTTTACCTTAAGTGTTGCTTATGAATTGTTTCCCGAGCGGGCCCTCCTGCCTGGTGGATCATGCGGAGCTTGGGCTCCCTTAGGGATATTTGGGCCTATACTTGGGCCAGGACCCAATATCCCAACAGATTATATACTAAAAATTGTTATCTATCAAATGAATTACATAGTACATTTTAAGGAAATTCGGTCATACAACACACATGTCGATTGACTAGTATTCTTAATTAGAAATACGTTCATTAAAGTATTTCATCATTGATCGACAAAATTTAATATAACGAAGTTCTATGAGATAGATGGAGTAATAATTAGTGCATTTGTTGCCTTTACAAAGCTCCATATATTTCTATTTGTTATAGACAACTTTTGAATATTGTCCGTTTGATACTTTGGGACCTCACGACTTTCAAGCGCCTTCACAAGTAAGAGCTTCAAGTCTTGCTTATAAACACACACACACACTATCTCACATGCAAGTGATGTGGAAACTTTTGGTTCACAACACACTCTCCCATCGTGAGTATAGTGCTGATAACGTGTTGTAAATTCAGACTCAAAAGTATTCATACATTCGCATATAGAGTATGTTTGGCACAACCAACTGAAAAGATACTTTTATGAGCTTTTTAATAACTGTTAACTTTTAGTGATTGAAAAGATCTTAGAAAAAGGCAGTAGCTGTTTGGTAAAAAGCTGACCGTTTGATTTAACTCTAGCTATGTTTGGCACAACGAGCTGGAACTGGAGGCTAATGTCTGAAAAAGAGGTTATTGTCTAAATCAAAGACTATTGTCTAAAGCTTAATTTTGAGATGCTCGATCTGAATTGGCAACTGAATGAAGTAAATCCGTTTGGCAAAAAGAGATAAAAAATGTCCTCATTATATGAAATTACATAAAAGGGCATGGAATTTATTAAGAGAGAATTCTCAAAATAAGAGTAAAAAAGTTTTGAAATAGAGTATCATGTTTTTTATTCCCTAAATAGGAGTAAATTTCTGCCAAACATGGCATTACTAGGCTTTACACATGTCATTTTCTTTCAAACTTGGAAGATTACTCTTGTTCAGGGAATAAAAAACATGATACTCCTATTTTGGAATTTCAAAACGTTTTTGCTCCTATTTAGGGCAATTTCTAATTAATTAATGCGTTGTAAATGAAGTTGAAACATTAATAGAACAAAATATTATCACAATATTTTTTATGATTTAATAATTATTTAAATTGTACGAAGTACTATATTTTTTTTATAAGTATGTGTGTGCTATATATATATGGATAGTACATACATGTATACATATAATATACTCCCTCCGTTCTTTTTTAGTCGCAACGGTCAACATTTTACATTTGCCAACACACGTCTTTGACTGTAATTATATCTTAATTCTATTAGTAAAAAATATATTAAAAATCAGATTTTGAATATTTGTAATGAGATGAATTGAACAATATTTTTTCTAAAACATAATTTTCATAAAATAATAGCGTAAAATGTAGTCAAAGTAGAACATGTGAATAGTGTAAAATGCAACATGTTGCGATTAAAACGGAATGGAGGATAGTAATACGATAGTATAAAATATCATTTTAAATCACCTCTCTTCCAATCTAACTTAAAACTATTTGCAGCGCACCAAGAAACTAAAATCAATTTTTACCGGATAGGAGCTTCATGTGGCAACAGGGGCGGCTTTGAGGGCAGTTGGGCCAGGCAACTGCCTTGGGCCTCAACTACCAAGGGGGCCTCCAAAAAATTCTACTCCGGTATTAGTATTAGGTGTTATTCGCAGACCGCCAATACACCAAGCGACAACTGCAAGCAGAAATCAGCTTTATAGTTCACTTTTGACTATTCTTCCTTCATCAAAGTTGTAGCTAATGAAGTCTTCTATCCAACACAACTTGCAAAACTGGATTTGAATCATCCAAAAAAAATATATGAATAAAATGGTGGAAGGTCGCATTCTGAAATCTCAACAGAGGTTGTCTGACTTCATCATCTTTTTTCACCTTGGTTCTCTCAGATTCTCACAATGGTGTCTTCATATGATTTGTAGCCCTTGAAGTTGGCTTTCATATGAAACTTGAATCATGTTTTTTGGATGTTCCTAAGAAAAGATATGCTTGAACGATTGACAGAACGACATCCTGATCGTTGTTTTCAAGCTCTATTCGTCTTCTTTTGATCCTGTAGCCAATTCTAGAGCTCTTTTGTCTTCAAAACATTGTCTTTAACACCTCACTGATCTCCAATGCTCCTAATCAACTCTAAAATGCTTCTCAACTCGTTCCTATTGCTTCTCAAACACCGGTGCCAGGCTCAAATTCCTTGATTTTGACTCCAAAAATACCAAAACTCGAACCAACGGCCGGTAAATATGACTTGAGCTTAAAATTGAGACTTATGACACCTTAAAGTTAGGAAAAAACTATCAAAAGCCGATCTCAACACGCATCAACGTCCAACACAGACCGCTAATCGGCTACTGTATATATGCCTCACTGTTCGCCGTCGATGTGGGTCCTTGGTTAGTGAATCAACTAAGACTCTTCAGCTCTTCTCTCTGAGTCTCGTTCTTGAAGTCTCTTAATACTTTTACAAGTACAAGTTTGCCTTGTGTTTTGAATAAGTTTGCCTTTTAAAATTTATCCTTTTGAATATTACAAACATTATATCGTGGACTTTGAATATGCTTTTTTCATAAGGCGATTTTTATTCAATTTATCTGATTTTAAAAGTTATTTGTACATAGTAAATATTTTTCGTCTGGGGCCTCCAAAATGCTCAAGCCGCCTCTGTGTGGCAAAATTAGATTAAAAATGTGGAATTTAAATAAACAAGAACACAAGTTTCAAACTACTCTTACACAAATAACAAGGAGGATAATGCTAATAAGTAATCTGAAAACGTTATTGGCCAAATCAGGAAGAAGAATATGGATGAGAAGAGCCAAACAAGAAAAAAGGTTGTGTGCGAATTATTTGCAGAATTGCATCGAAGAGAGGGTAATCCACTAATCCGTACGCAGGGTTATAATTGGTATCTATAGAAGGGCTGGATGGAAACGTCATGCCTAGAAACGTTGTAATTCAGCTCATTTTTTTCAGCTTAAGCTCAGTTTAGGTATCTATCCAAACGAGACTATTTTTATGATAATTGGCTGGATTTAAGAAATTCCAGCTCATTTTGAGCTGAAATGGCAAGCCAAACATAGCGTAAAATTTGGTATACAAGTTGTTAAGACTAATTAATGCTAGAAGCTACAGACTTATCTGATGTGCTACTCAAAAAGATATTTTATTTTTATAAAATCTCTTAAAAATTGAAACGTCGAACATATAACTAGAAGCTTTTAAAGACATTTTAAATTGTTCAGAAGCCAGAAGACAGAGACTTGTGAGCCAGGGGATACATGGAGATCCACGTAATTTTTTTTCTCATCATGACATCCACATAGTTATATAGCAATAATTTCTAAATTCTAATAAGAGTACAATTTTAGACATGCTCGTATTCAACTTTTATGAGATAGATAAATTGATTTATGTACAAATTAATTTGATGATTCGTATGATATTGTGAAAACCGCGTGGGTTCATGTGAAAATATTCCAACATCTAAAAGTTTTCTTTTATTAAACCCTCTACTTAGGGTAAGAATCTTTTTTCCCCATAATATACTCCCGCAAAATTTATTCTCTTACTTAAATAGGATGTATACTCCGTATAATACGCAATGCCTACCGAATTTTAATTGTATAATTACGGAGAGAAAATAAATAATTACGGAGAAGACTGTACAGAGAGTTGTATACTTACTGACAGTGGGGGTGGGGGTGGGGGTACGGCTCCGGACGGAGAAAGTGAGTCCGGATTTCAATTGCCTAAAATCCTAATTACATCTTCCCACTCCCTCTCTCTCCATAGCTTGTCTTTGACCTCTGCACTTGCGATCTCTGCCAGCAGCTTTTTCCCTCCCTTGCATTGCCTTTCTTACCTGGCTTTCTTCCTGAACTTCGCATACCCACCTTAGATTCAGGTATTCTATTCGTTATGCGTTTTTTCCGGGTTGTTTTAAGTGACAATCTTGATTGCGGGGAGACTGTTGATCTAATTTGTCTTCTTATCCATGTGTGCGTTTCTACAGTTTTATACTTTATAATCATTTGATTGTGTGGAAAGATAGGCCGTCTGCTTCAATTTCAGCTGACAATGCCAATATGCAATGCGTGTCATTTTCCCTTTCTTTGCTTTATATTTTAATTTTTCATCTTTTGCCACTTGAATTTCTGCAAGAATGCAATTGTATGAATTGTGAAGGATGAAAGGATGAGAGTTCATTATATTTGTGAGTATATATGCTTCTTGATGTACTTCAGATATCTGTTGCTTTAGTTGAACATGGATTTTAATCCAGGACTGGATTCTTGGAGTCAGAAATATGTTCTGAATATAAATTAATGTTTTCTCTTTAAATGACCTCTTGGTAAATATTCATATCCCTCTATCTTAGGTTCATTGTCATCTTCTTGTCACAGTTTTCACTAAAATAATTGGAATTCCAAAGCTAATCCGGGGTAATGGAGGGTCATGTTTCCTTGAACTGAAATCATCATCATCGAAGAGAGAAAGGAAAAATGGCAAGAGGGAGAATAAGGGCAAAGCTTAGCTGGAGTAATTTGTACACATTTGCATGTATAAGGCCGCCACAAGCTGCTGAGGACAGGGGTACCAATCCGGGTTATTCACGGATCGTCCATTGCAACCAACCCCAACACCATGATGTGCAACCTCTGAAGTACTGTTCGAATTATATATCGACCACAAAGTACAATATATTATCGTTCCTACCAAAGGCCATATTTGAGCAATTCAGACGTGTTGCTAACCTTTACTTTCTCCTAGCTGCAATGCTTTCGCTCACACCCGTCTCACCATTCTCTGCTCTTAGTATGATAGCTCCTTTAGTCTTTGTTGTTGGTTTGAGTATGGCTAAGGAAGCCTTGGAAGACTGGCGGAGATTCATTCAGGATATGAAAGTCAATCTACGAAAAGCTAAGGTCCATAAACCGGGTGGCAATTTTGGCCCACGACCATGGATGAAGCTTCGTGTTGGAGACATTGTGAAAGTCGAAAAGGACCAGTTTTTCCCAGCAGATTTGCTTCTCTTGTCATCTAGTTACGGAGATGGAATATGCTACGTAGAAACAATGAACTTAGATGGAGAGACAAACTTAAAAGTCAAAAGAGCTTTGGAGGTTACCATGCAATTGGATGATGATGGTTCTTTCAAAGACTTCAGAGCAACCATAAAATGTGAAGACCCCAACCCAAATCTTTACACTTTTGAGGGGAACCTTGAGTACGAACGTCAAACGTATCCCCTTGACCCTACTCAAATTCTCCTCAGAGATTCAAAGCTGAGAAACACAGCTTTTATATATGGAGTGGTTATATTCACTGGTTTTGATAGCAAAGTCATGCAGAACTCTACTAAGTCGCCCTCAAAGAGGAGCCGGATAGAAGAACAAATGGACAAAATTATTTACATCCTTTTTACTCTCCTTCTGTTGATCTCCTCAATTAGCTCAATTGGCTTTGCTGTGAAGGTGAAGTTCCAGATGCCAGACTGGTGGTATTTACACCCTCGGGACAATGGAAATGTTTTCTATAACACATACAGACCTGCATTGTCTGGGATTTTTCATCTAGTTACTGCTCTTATATTATATGGATATTTAATACCCATTTCTCTATACGTCTCTATTGAAATTGTCAAGGTGTTACAAGCACTGTTCATGAATCGGGACATTCATATGTATGATGAAGAGTCTGGAACTCCTGCTCAAGCGAGAACGTCAAATTTAAATGAGGAGTTAGGACAGGTTAACACAATCCTCTCTGACAAAACTGGTACTTTGACATGCAACCAAATGGATTTCCTCAAATGCTCCATCGCTGGAACTGCATATGGAAAGCGTGCTAGTGACATCGAACTTGCAGCTGAAAAGCAAATGGCTATGGAGTTCAATGAGTTGGACCCTGAAAGAAAACCTAACGGATCAGAAATCGAATTAGAGACAGTGACTGCTGGTAAAGAAGAAGAAGACAAAAAACTTCATATCAAGGGATTTAACTTCCAGGATAGCCGGCTCATGAATGGAAATTGGTTAAATGAACCAAATGCAGATATCATATTGCTATTCTTCAGAGTGCTGTCAATCTGTCACACAGCAATTCCTGAAGTAAATGAAGAGACGGGTACCTTCAATTACGAAGCAGAGTCACCGGATGAAGCGTCATTTCTTGTTGCAGCCAGAGAATTTGGGTTTGAGTTCTGTAAAAGAACTCAGTCAATCATAGCTGTTCGTGAGAGATATCCTTCTTATATAAATCCCGTTGAAAGGTGAGACTAATATTTATTGGAATGACTTGGACTTTATCCACTGCTAAATCTGTTATGAATCAGATATCTTATTTTGATTTGGTTTCCCCTAACTCCAGAGAATACAAAGTTCTTAATCTGTTGGACTTCACAAGCAAGAGGAAGAGAATGTCTGTCATTGTTCAGGACGGGAATGGCCAGATTTTACTCTTTTGCAAAGGAGCTGACAGGTGTGTGTTTGAACATCCTTCATAGTGCTGTTGAAATTTACTCATTCAGGAAGATCTACTTGTTCATCACATAAATGTCATTGTGTGTGTATTATTTTTTGTATCCTATCTAGATTTTAATTCCTCTGCTACTTAAATTTCTTTACAGCATCATATTTGATAGATTAGCAAGAAATGGGAGGATATTTGAGGAAGCTACAACCAAGCATTTGAATGATTATGGGGAAGCCGGGTTACGTACACTTGCAATTGCATACAAAAGGCTTGATGAAGCAGAGTATTCTGCTTGGAATGAAGAGTTTGCCAAAGCAAAGACTTCATTGGGAAGTGACAGGGAAGCAATGCTTGAACGTTTATCTGATGTGATGGAAAGGGATCTGTTTCTTCTTGGTTCAACTGCTGTAGAGGATAAACTGCAGAAAGGAGTATGTTTTTCCTCTTGTGGTTTATTAGCTTGGACTTGTTGTACAAGCTTCTGACGTGGAATTTTGGCTATTCCCCCAGGTTCCTCAATGCATTGACAAATTGGCACAAGCCGGTTTAAAGATCTGGGTTCTGACTGGTGATAAGATGGAAACTGCAATCAACATAGGGTCAGTCTATGGATTTAGAAAGAATTTGCACACTGCATTGTTTCTTTTCTGTCATTTTTTTCCCCAACTTCTAAGCAATCTAACACACTTTCTTGGCTTATAAAGATTCGCTTGTAGTTTGCTTCGACAAGGAATGAAGCAAATATGCATATTGCCAAACGCAGGTGCAGCAACAAATGACACAAATGAGGTCTAGTTTCGTTAACTACAGAGTAATACTTTATTATTTCCCTGCAGGAAATATTATTAAACTTCTTGAGCGTGGTTTATTACTTCTCAGGCTGTCAAAGAGAGTATTTTGATGCAAATCACAAATGGCTCTCAAATGGTAAAACTTGAGAAGGACCCACTTGCTGCATTTGCATTGATTATTGATGGAAAGGCTCTATCATATGCTTTGGAGGATGACATGAAGCATCAGTTTTTGGACTTGGCTGTTCACTGTGCATCTGTTATTTGCTGCCGTGTCTCTCCAAAACAGAAAGCTTTGGTAAGGTGTTTTCAAATTTTATCACAGTACATTTTTCAATTGACCCTTTTTATGGTAAGAAAGCTCTTATTTAGCAGTCTGTACGTGCATGTGATTCCTTTTTCCATAGGTGACAAGGTTAGTAAAAGAGGGTACCGGAAGAACTACCTTAGCAATTGGTGATGGTGCAAATGATGTTGGAATGATTCAGGAAGCTGACATTGGCGTTGGGATCAGTGGTGCAGAAGGAATGCAAGTCAGTAATACATTCTACCTCGATTCGTTGAACTTGCATCTATTTAAAGCATCTAAGCATGTATGTGGATCTATAATGGTTCATAGTCTTCTATAAATGATGGTTCACTGTAATATTCATGTGGACCATTCCGTGGAGATAGAAATAAGTTTCACTGGTTCACTGCAATATTTTCTATTTTTTTGGGGGTGGGGGTAAATATGAACAGCACACAAAGATTATAAGTAAAATCTAATTATTTGCGCTTTCTGGTAAAAAATTACAAAATGTAGCATTTTTTGTGCGATTCAATCAACTAACTTATAGTGTTTTCCGAACGTCTTGTGAGGAGTTGTTATTCATACTAGTTAAATGTTTTGAATTCCTAAACCTATATGATAGACGTTTTTATGAAGACTAAATGTAAGCATACATTTACGTAACTGTTAAACGTGTTCGGGGTATTTAAACCTACTTAGTAACTTTTTTGGAGGGATGACAACCCCTTGCCCCCCCCCCCCCCCCCCCCCCCCCAAAAAAAAGCTTGCTGTTAGCCACACACACATGCACCTTGTATATTTATCTATGCATGACATATCTTGGTCTTGTTTTCACTTTATAAGGGGTTTACACATGAGTTTATTGCAGGCAGTTATGGCTAGTGACTTCGCTATTGCACAGTTCCGTTTTCTGGAGAGACTTCTTGTTGTGCATGGTCACTGGTGCTACAAACGTATTGCTCAGATGGTAATGAATTTACTTCTGGTGTTTCATTTGCTTGGATGTTAATAGGCCCCCAATAATATGAAAAGGAGTGGAAAGTACACCTAAACAATGACTTTGAATTTGTTTTACTGCCTGTAGTATTTAGTAGTAGTAGGCACACTTCTATAGCAAGTGTGCCAGAATATAAATTGTGTGCTGGATGTTTTTTGGAACATATAAAAAGCACTTATGACAATTTTCAGAACCATATTGTCTGCTCTAAATGAAATAAAGGAGATTTTATTGGAATTAAAGTTATCAGTTTTACTTTGAAGAGTTTAAACTCAAAAGAACTTTGGTGACCTAAAAGCGCCAACCTAATGCTTTTCTAGATAATTTACTGTTAGAAACTTTTTTCTTAAATATCCCAAACATGCAACAAATGTCTATCCATTTTTTAATTGAATGATGTAACATTCATGTCGGAAGATGAGAGCTGGGGACCTGGCTCGGCCGACAGAGCAGTCGGTTGATCAGAACTCTCGGTTTGAGCACTCAACCCATATGATTTCATACCAGCCAAAGCAAAAAAGGGCCGTTATTAAGAAGCAAAAATTAAGTCACATTTATAGCATACCATTCTTCATTTATCTTTCTTTTCTTTGTCTTGTACATGTTGTAACCTCAATTTCAATGTTTTTTCTTCGTTCAGATATGCTATTTCTTCTACAAGAATATAGCATTCGGCCTCACACTATTTTACTACGAAGCTTTTACTGGCTTTTCTGGGCAGTCTATGTACGACGATCTGTACATGTTACTCTTCAATGTGGTTCTAACATCCTTGCCTGTCATTTCACTTGGAGTCTTCGAGCAGGATGTGTCTTCTGAAGTCTGTTTACAGGTTCGAGTCATATATAGTATATACTTCCTCCTTCCCATATTGATGTGCAATTTGTGGGTATTTTGGTTGATTCATGACAAAGTTATATTTTCCGTGCTAGTACTTATAAGTTATAACTTGGTATCAATAATTAAAAATACTTATTTAGAGACTACATTAAAAGTTCTATTAAAGCTCAAATACAAAATTTAAATATGACCAAAGTTTATACTCAAAATTAGAGAACAAAAAAGAATTGTGTTGACCAAGAAAAGTAGAAATTGCAATCAATTTTGGACGGAGGAAGTATATATAATTTTACATATGCTGTGATTGATGCAGCATTCCTGAATTTTAGTATCTCCTGGCGCAGACTCGCTACTTTACTCATTCAATCAAAATGCATTATTATGCAGTTCCCAGCACTCTACCAGCAAGGACCAAAAAATCTGTTCTTTAATTGGAATAGAATATTTGGATGGATGGGGAACGGTTTTTACGCCTCGGTGATCATCTTTTTCCTCAATCTAATCATTTTCTATGATCAAGCCTTCCGATCGGGAGGCCAGACGGCTGACCTCACTGCCATGGGGACCGCTATGTTTACTTGTGTTGTGTGGGCCGTCAACTGCCAGGTGGCGTTAGCTATGAGCCATTTCACTTGGATTCAACACATTTTTATCTGGGGAAGCATCGCCACCTGGTACGTATTTCTCCTGTTATACGGCTCGTTATCACCGGACATCTCTAAAAATGCCTATCAAGTCCTTGTGGAAGCTCTTGCCCCATCACCGATTTACTGGTTGGCCACTATTTTGGTTACGGTGACATGTAACCTTCCGTACCTGGCCCACATATCTTTCCAACGGGCGTTCAAACCGATGGATCATCACATCATTCAAGAAATCAAGTACTACAAGAAAGACATTGAGGATCGGCATATGTGGACAAGAGAGAGGTCGAAAGCCCGAGAGAGGACAAAGATTGGGTTTACAGCTAGGGTAGATGCAAAGATTAGGCAGTTGAAAGGTAAATTGCAGAAAAAGTATTCGTCTACAGCAGCTATGGCTACAAGAACAGATATTTCATAATACTTGTGCACTTTTTTTGCTGCTGATGTATAAATTAGGATTTTTGTTGTTTCTGGCAATTTTTATAGTTCACTTGTAACATTGTTCTGTCCAGTATAGTGGGGAGGTGCATTAGGCTTGCGATTATACTTATTGGAGTAATACAAAGGCGCTGTTGTATGTATCATTACATTTTTTATTCGGAAAGTATTTATGATTTTGCTAAAAAAGAAACTCTATTCAAAATGAGTTTCTACTTCAAATTGCTTGGATTGAAGAAGCAAATCTAGCTCTGCGATATATGATTTAGTTTTATTATGAGGCAAATTATTTGGTACCCTCAAGGCCTAAAGGTACGGTATTTTGTTCACTTGAATCAATCAAATGCATAATAGATACTAAGGTACTATACTTTCACTTTCTAGAAAGTTCACAAATTACGCGATTATGAGTTAATAGTCTAATACTAATTTTTTAATTCTTAAATATGAATTTTACATTGGAGTTATGTTTTAAAAGTACACACTTTTACAAAAACTTTTACAAAAGAGATATGTGATAACATTTTATTCTTATTGCTTAACACATCACATCATTTTAAATCAAAAACGTGATTCCTTTACACCCGAGTTATGTTTTAAAAGTACACACTTTTACAAAAACTTTTACAAAAGAGAATAAGAGATACGTGATAACATCTTATTCTTATTGTTTAACACATCACATCATATTAAATAAAAAACGTGATTCCTTTACATTGGAGTTATATTTTAAAAGTACACACTTTTACAAAAACTTTTACAAAAGAGATACGTGATAACATTTTATTCTTATTGCTTAACACATCACATCATTTTAAATAAAAAACGTGATTCCTTTACATTGGAGTTATGTTTTAAAAGTACATACTTTTACAAAAACTTTTACAAAAAAGATACGTGATAACATGAATAGTTGGACTGTATTCATTTAGATTTAAATAAATGAATGAATGAATAAATAAATAAATAAATAAATAAAGCCTCTAGGTATTCCGGTACCAATATTATTGCACCATTTGCACGTATTATTGGCGAAATCGCTTGCCAAAATTTTGCAGTTCGTTCTCCAAACAAGGCCCAAAATTTGCTGACTAATTTTTATCATCTGCCCTGTCAAACCCTGTGCTCAGTCAATCCCACACTTCCGAAGACATCCGGCCACCTATTTCCGCCTCGATTTTCCGGCGATTTATATTGATCTTCTGAGGAGGCGCCCGGGAGCATTCACACAATGACTTGCGGTTCTCAGGTTGCGCGTCACTGCAGAAAGGTACTTTTTTAACGACTTATGAAGTTTCGATTTCTTAGTTTCTCCAGAAGTTATTTTTCTCGCGATAGATGCGTTATAAGTAGTGTTTATGGATCTTGATCCATCTGTAAACAGTATATTGGATAGATATCAAATTTAGATTTATTTTAGGGACAATAATTTATGGTGAATGAGCATTGTATGATATATTAGTTAATCTTACTGATTTATAAAGCAATTAAATTAAGGAAATTCATGATGAAATGGAAGACATAGAAAAACCGTTTATTAACCATTAAAATCAAATAGTAGGCATACTTCAGTCTTCTTTTGGGTAGATAGAAAGCACCTGTGTGCTGTTTGGTTGTGTCTGTGTGATTTAGATGTTTGCTTATTGATATTTGATACTATCGTCCATGGTCTCATTGAGAATATTTAACTCGAATTATGCTTTTTCATACAGATAAGAAGCACTTCCAGTTTGGTAAAGCATGATTGCGGAGTATCGGTTCGCTGGTTTGGAAGTGACACAAGGCTCTTGACCAGTAAAGGAGATGGTAAGTTCATTAGAAATGTGTTTTCTCTTCAAGTACATAGTTTATTTACTAATTAGCATACCTTGTGCTATTGGGTATCTTTCTTGTCGACTTGTTATGGGTTATTATAACCATCCTTATTCGCAACCTTGAGGATTTTATGATGGCATATAATGTAGCAGTTCTAGTCATTCAGTAGAACATAGTAAATAATTATGCAATGATTATTAGTTTTTTCGCTGGAGTGACAGTAGATTACCTTTGATGTTTATTATACTATAATGTGCTTCCAGTTGACCACCTACACTAATTATTTAAGTGAAATACTGTTTAGCTGCTAAGAAACTCAAATTTTGTACCGAATGAAAGAGAATAAACAATGAAGTATAGGTACTTGAGTTGACATTAGGATCCAACTCTGGTAAACGACAATATCTGTTGACTTTAAAAAAGATCTGGCAATTCTGTTGTTTCACAGATACTTCAAGGTTGAGACGACCTCATTTTGCAACTGGTCACAATGAGAGTGTCTTGAAATCACCCCAACCGACTAAATCAAGCATGCTGGGCTTCAAAAACAGTCATAGAACAATGAGCCCCACAATGGTGACTTCACATCTTGTCTTATTTGTACCCTTCCACAAAAACGTACTATGTATTATTCAATTTGGCACAATATGAATACTAATTGTGTCCCTTCTATTTCTATTTTTTGAAAGAAAATTATAAATAGCACCTCTAACTCCCTAAGTTGATATAGGTATCATTTATGAGGACACCCAAGGAAGATGTATCAGTGAATTGCATGTTACAAAGCAGAATGTCTTCATGGTTTGTTTTTTCTTCTTTTTGCTACAGTATAGTTTTATGTTGATGCAACTTACAAATTTTGCATTTTTTGTGTGTCAGTTCACAGATGCACCAGAGTAGAGGGTTTTCAGCTAATGCAGGTGAGGCCACTGTGTTGTTGTTTTAAGATGTCCATACTTAATCAGTTTTACTTCCCTCCCTTTCAAAGAATGTTTTTGGTTCTTAAATTACTGTCTTAAGGCTTGTAATCCATATTAGGAAGCATTCAAACATTTGGCTATACCTGTATAGGTTTGTCGGTAAACCCTGGTAGGAGTGTAGGACAAGTCATTACATAGTTGTTTGTCTGTAATATTTTTGTAGTAAATGTATGACACTCACGTGCTTGCAAGTTTACACAACCAGTACACTAAATTTAAATTCTTTTTTGTGCTTTCGTTAAAATATGAAATTAGAAGAATTACTGATAGGTCAATGACAGTTAGAATATACTCCCTTCGTCCCATAATTTTCTTCCCATTTTCCTGATTGGGTTGTCCCAAAACTTTCTTCATGTTTTTCCTTTTACAGAAAGTAATGTGTGATAGATATTGTTTTGCTTCCTTTCTAAATGAACCTGACCCACATAATTTCATTTTCCCAAAAAGCATCTCAAGTGAAAGCGGGAAGACAATGATGGGAAGGAGTTAATATAAACAACTAGATAATAGTGTTAAAGGGTGGTAAAAATTCGCAACTTGAAGCTCTCTTGACTCCAATTTGATTTATTAATGCGCCAACATAATAAAATACACAGAGTATCAGGGCAAGCAATGCTAAAATCAATTCAGGATTAAATTGCCAAAATGTAATTAAACGGATGTAAAATGAATGTGCAAGTTGAGCACTTAAAGTATTTGCATCTATTTGTCCCTGTGTGTACGGGAGGGTATATGCGAAACTTCTCTTGTGGTAAGCACTTTTTCTTACATTAGCTCTTTCAATCTTCCATTCAAATCTTGATCCATGATTCTCATTCTCCTCTACTTCCTTATTAGTGACTAATAATATGGCGAGCAAATATGTCTTAAAACCAGGCGGAAATATTTGGGTAGCAAAGATTAAATATTACTTATATGCATCACAACTGAGCTATTACATAAGTCTTTGTTGATTGTTTTAGACTTTCATCTAATTATGCAAGAATGCAACTTTCTCCTTGTTTTCAGATCTTCCTCCACATCAAGAGATTGGGATGCCCTCACTTTCGCCGACGATGACAGAGGCATGCATTTCTCTAAAAGCACAATAGTATTAGATCTCCATTTAGAAGTTGCCTCACAGCTTATTTGATATGTTCACCAGGGAAATATTGCTCGGTGGTTGAAGAAAGAGGGTGACAAAATATCTGCTGGAGAAGTACTTTGTGAAGTTGAAACAGTAGGATTCGTCTTATGTGCTATATGACTACAGTAATTATGTTGAACCTTCTTTGTATTCAGATGTGTAAATACTAAATATGATATTTATGTCCTTGTTGATACATAGGATAAAGCAACCGTAGAGATGGAATGCATGGAAGAAGGATATCTAGCTAAGATTTTGCGTGGTGATGGAGCTAGTGGGATTCAAGTTGGTGAGGTATTGGCGTCATCCATTTGTTATACTCCCTCCGCCCCCCTATAATTGTCCCATTTTTTCATTTTGGGACGTCCCCCCCTATTATTGTCCCATACCATATTAACATTTGTGTGGCTCTAATTCATTCTTACTTTATTCTCACTTTATCAACATATTATCAACCAGATAATTCTACTTTTCTTAAAAAGCACATCACTCTCTTCCGTCCCAATATTAGGGGGACGGAGGTAGTATTAGATTTCCACGTGAAGTAAAAAAAATCCTATTTTATCTTCCAGCTTACCTTGACTTTTTTTATCATAATTTTCTGACTTTCAGTCATATTTATCGATTTAAGTGTTTCTACGTAACATATTTTGTATCTAATCATTTTTTTATAATTGAAATCCCTGAATTATACTGTGGCTAAAGAGTAAACTTTTCCGAAGTGTGGTAACTGTGTCAATACATGCAGGTAATTGCCATAACTGTTGAAGAAGAGGAGGACATTGCGAAGTTTAAAGAATATCAGCATTCGACATCAGATGATGCACCTGCACCTGCACCAAAGAGCCCTCCACCCCCACCCAAAGAAGAGGCTGCGAAGGAACCAACCCCTTCAGAGCCAAAAGTTTTTCAACAAAGTACACATTCATCTGATCGCACCTTTGCTAGTCCTCTTGCTAGGAAACTAGCTGAAGATCACAATGTACATGTTCTATGACCATCTATTTTGAGAGTGTTTCGATATTATGTTTCGGGATTGGCTTGGGTAATGTTCTAGTATTATTGCATTGATTTTGGTGTAAGAACTGGTACAGGTACATCTGTCAAATATTAAAGGGACCGGTCTTGAGGGGCGCATTGTCAAGGCTGATATTGAAGATTACCTTGGTAAGTAATTCTTTGTATCTATTTTAGAATACCTTTAAAAGGAGTTGATTTAACTTTTTTAAACATGTATTGTTCGTTTTCCATCGTTAGTTTGTGCTATTAACATGGGATGCGTTTTGGATGTATATTCCTTATTACGTGTTTTTGTTCTATTCCTTATTTGGATGTATAGAACCAATGAGTAACCATGCTGTTTAATCTTGCTATTATGTAGCT